GATCGACGCAAGCGGCAGGAATGACGCGCGTCGCCGGATGCCCCGAACTCTCTCTTCCCGTCTTCACTCCCCATAAGGGCTTGAAGGAGGCCCGGAGCTCATGAACACCAATCGACGAGGGGAGGAAGAAGGCGGATTTCGTCCGGTCCCCCGACAGCGCGCCCTCCGGCGGCTCCACGGTCCCGGAGCTCTTAGCCACCCCCTTGCCCTTGGCGGATTTGGGCGCCATGGCGGCCAAGAAGTCTAGAGGATTGAGGAAAAGGGGTGGCGAAACAGCAACAGAGGGCGGCGGCGAAAGCTTAGGAGGGAAGGAAGAAAGGAAATGGCGACTCTAAGATTGGAAAAGGCACAAGAGAAGAGGAGAAAGTGAGCAGCGCGCAGACGGTTATTCCTTCTTATGGGGGAAAACGCGGTCCGCCTCCTTTCACATTAACTGCGACGTGACGCATGCGCGCAGAGCTCAGCCCCACGCATGCCGCCCATGTCACGCATGCCTCCCCACGCCGAGCCATGCGCAGGAGGCATGGAAAGCGCAGCGCGCGAAGAAACTTACCATGGTAAAAACTACCCCGCCTGCCCGCGCACCGTTTTTGGGCCCCAACGACGCGATTGCGCTTACGTGTGGCCCAGGCCCGGGGGCTCCTGTTGGTGTACAAAAAGGGAGGGGTACACTTTTTGTACCCCTATAACTGTGCACAGGCAGTTCGAGCCACGGACACCACCGCACCGGCAAGGCAAGGGAGGTGAGCCAAGGTAAGGCCGAAGCTCGAAAGGAGCAGAACGACACCAAGACCAAGACCACAAAGAGCAAAGGGGACGAAGCAGACTCCCCCGGCAAGATCCTTGCCGGGGGATGGTTTTAGCAAACCCGACAAGACCCCTGCCGTGGCAGCTCGCCCCACACCTACGGAGCGAGTCACCCTTGAGTCCACTGCTCCCGTGGGGCAAGGATTCGGGAGACATCCCCGTGGTGGCATGCAGATCTTTGTGAAGACATTCAAGATCAGATACACACAATAGAAGATGACGACCCTTGGCAGGATCCCAGCCAAGGAGGACCACAAGGCCCCCGATAAGAGCCTTGCCGGGAACGACAGCAGGCGCCCCGGCAAGACCCTTGTCGGGGCTACGACGAGGTCCTTGCCAAGGACACCCGTAGGGCCACCATCAGGTCCACGCCAATTCCAACCACTACCACCATTCGCATGCAGCTGCCGACCCAACCAGTTGGGCAGGCACCTGTGTGGCGGCGGGCAGATCTTCGTGGAGACCCACCGCTGCGCCACCTCAGCTGCCTGCCTGCCTACATGGCGCCACGGGCACCGCTGGCCAGGGCGCGTGTCGACGCGAAAGGGAGCGGCGACGGACAAGACTGGGTTCTCCCCCGTCCCCGATAAAGCAAGGACACCTAAGCAAGACGCATTAAATGCGCCTTGTCATGTAATGCGAGGGATAAACTCGTATCACTGTGCCCTTTCCACCTCCTGTGTGCCACTGTGGCAACCCCTTTCCCTATAAAAGGAGGCCCAAGGCGACCAGGAGGGGGATTCGGCTTTTTGGAGCTCTTCACGCCCCATTGCTAGCCTGAGAACACAGATAAACGAACCACCAAAGCAGGAGTAGGGTTTTACGCATCCTCGCGGCCCGAACCTGGATAAAAGAACCCGTGTGCTATCTGTTCGATCCGCCCTTCTCGCAACCCCGCGCCCCACAACCATAGTAGGGATTCTCATGATCCCATAGGTGTCGTCCCCGCACCGACACCTTGACATCGCCCACACATGAAGGGTGCTCTTGACGTACACCCCGGCGGGGTAGAGCATCTCCGGCGCGGTGGGGGGAAGCGGTAGGTTGGCCCAGTGTACTGCATGGCTGCGGCGGGCTGGTTCTTGGGGCTGTTTGTGGTGAAGAAGAAGAAGGGCAGGCGCAAAATGCAGGTGGGAGAGTATGGGAGATGGATGAAGGGTGTGAGAGGAAGAGAAACATGATAGGTGGCTTAAATAGCCACCGTGGCAGTAATGGGGTCAAATGTGAACAAATTTTCCACCCATCGCGGCATCGGGAGTGTACACGCGTGGGAAACTGTAGTGTGAATCAAAATGTGAAGTTTAAGTGCTGCCCTATGTGCCGTCGGTCGGGTCAACCGGGGACGGCTCTGCGGTGCGTGCTCCTTTGCGTATGTGCACGCATGCAACATAGGCTGAAGCGAACGCATGCATGCAACCGCATGCAACGTAGGCTCGCTCTGGCGCATGCAACAGCGGCGGACATCACTCGTTCCAACGGGTGGGCTTCTTTACACAGCCCAACGACACGCATGCATGGCAGCCCACCCTCGAGCGAAGAAAAAAAAAACAGGCACAGAAAAAAACATAAGTATTATATGATTTATCGACGTGAAAGCCCTAGATAATCCTTACAACGACAAAAAGCTATGAAACTTGGCAATGATGCTAGTCATGTTGGTACAAGGTTGTTGGTCTACTTCAAGGATGTCGACAAAAACATGCTTCGAGACGGACCCTTCCCGTCCCGAAAGGCCTACCATGAAGCAGGTTCAGAATGACACCAAATTTTGCCTGGATGTAAGTCCAATGAGATCAACACTTGTTCATGTTGGATAATGTGGCACTGAATGCCAAAGGAGATAAAGATTGATACTTGTCATGTGGGCCCATATTTTTTTTTACATTTGGAGTCGATAGAACACAAAAAACGAACATGACTATATGCTTTTAGGTCTTCACCCTCACCAATTTGTTGGCCAACTCAGTAGGTTTTGCCTTAAGATGCCACCACTTTTTGTAAGCTGCAATTGTTGTGGTTTTGGAATGCTGGTTCTCTTTCCTGCAGAACATATATTTATAGCGACCGTTACGCTGGTACACAATCTTTGCAGCCATGAGCCACTTGAAGATTTTCTTTCTGAAAGCTTCCCTCAGCTGTAGGTAGTTCTCCCATTCTTCCAAATTTGCAATCTGGTATTAGAAGAAAAACAATCTCATGCCAGCGAATTGTACATTATATCAAAGGCAGGCATAAATGGATTTTTTTTCTTTGTATTGGTTTCCTAAAACTGGTTATATGAAAGACAGTCATAAAATGGAATACAAATGATCCATTCATATAAATTTGCAAACCCTAGGACTGATAAACGTACGATTAATCAAACATAGGCGAACAGTACGATTGTCTATACGAATAGTGATGAATAACAAGAGAGCAATTTCTGGGGTTAACCTCGAGAAGGCAAATTCTAGGTTTAATATCTGCAGGCACTAACCGATTCGTTGTCGTTGGTGCTGTGTTGGCTGCGAATCGGCGGCGACGACGTCCTTGTCGACCAGTTCCTTCATGGGGTCCACATCCGCCGCATGGAGCGCACCAGCCATGCCCCCTCCCCCGACAGGTAGGATCATCATCGCCGGCAAGAATGTGGGCTTTTTGGCGGCGGCGAATAGTGGGCGGGAACGAAGACGTGGGTGGATAGGCAGAGGCGATCGAACGCTAGAGGCGGGAGCGGGATTTGGGGAGTGAAAATTCAATTTGTTTGGGAGAGAGAGGTCAAGGCCGCGCACAATTCGTCACTTTTGAAATTTAGGTAGAAACATGCACATATATGGCATCGTGCACATCCAGAGATTTGCCCGAACCAACCAATCAACCAACCAAGCAAAAGAAAAAGTGCACAATGTCGGTCCACAAACATGGCAACATAAACCGAACACCAAAATATTGTGTTAAAAAAATAGCAAAATAGGAGGGACATTTTTTTTGTTTTGCGCAGTACTACTAAATACTAGAAGGGAGAACTACTGGAAAAAAATACTACTAGAAGGGACGGTTGGCACATTTAATTTCACATGGCATCTAGCTTTTTTGTTCATCGCTAGCTATGATGTACCGATTAGGTAAAATGAATGGATAATTATAAAACCCTAGCTATTGTCAAGGTTTATCGGTGTGTGTCTATGTGGCCAAGTGTGCTTGCACGGTGTGGGTCCAGGTGAGTGTGATGCACGGGACGAGCCTTTGTGGTTAGGGCCCACATGAAGCGGCACCGAATTTTGAGGAAAGTGAAGGAACGAGCCCCACACACCACTACTAGGAAAAGGCCTACTAATGGTGCACCAGTTTTGCCTAATAATGGCGCACTACTGGTGCGCCATTAGTATCACGCCACTAGTATTTTTTACTAATGGCGCACCAGTGTAGGCCACGGTGCGCCATTAGTATAGGCCACTGGTGCGCCATTAGTATAGGCCACGGTGCGCCATTAGTATTTTTGAATTTTGAAGGCGGGAAAATAGTAGTGGCGCATCGTCAACCCCCACCGTGCTCCATTGCTATTTTTGAATTTTGAATTTGGATCTGGATGGCGATTTTTTTGCCCATTTTTTGCTTGTTTTTTTTGCATGATATTATTTCAAATTTTGTTCCCGTTTTTGGATCTTGTACGTTCTTTTGCCGTGTTCTTTTGCCGGAGAGGAGTTCGCCGGAGAGGAGGAGGAGGTCGCTGGAGAGGAGAAACCATGAGGGGATGGGAGGAGAGGAGGGAGGAGGAGCTCACCTGAGAGGAGGGAGGAGGAGCTCACCGGAGAGGAGAGAGGAGGAGCTCACCGGAGATGAGGGAGGAGGAGCTCACAGGAGAGGAGGGAGGAGAAACCATGAGGGGATGGGAGGAGAGGAGGGAGGAGGAGCTCACCTGAGAGGAGGGAGGAGGAGCTAATCAGGGTTTTATGCTACTTAATCTAAATGAGCCGATGATTAATGAGCACGAGTTTAGCAAGCAGAGATGCCAAACCACACACCAATTCACATAGTTCTACCCTAGTTCAATGCTTCCATATATACAAAAACAAGCACCACTTAGTAGTAGTGGTGCACATAGTTCGACCATAAACGTTCACCAACAAAGTATAGCATAGGGTAGTACTTAGCATAGTTAAAACCAAAATAGCATCAGTTCTAGCTGCGAGGGTGCGCACTTCCCTAGAGACTCAAAGAAGCCTCATCAAGTAGTCGGCATACGCGGCGTGCTTCACCCTGAAAGCGTAGCCATTCTTGGTGCTGCCTTGGGATGTTCCGACTGCATGGTTGATGGTACTCGACAGGTCGCCTTTCATCACCTTGTTACAGTAAGGGCATCCGTAGCCCTTTCTGAATCTAGGCCTCACAGCTTTCTCGAGCTCACCACTGTCCAGCTGCCTCACCTTCTGCCTCCTGAAGATCCTCTGGGTTTCTGGGTCGCTGTCAACATCGTCACTTAGGACCTACATGTAGTACAAAATGTTGCGTAAGTATATTTAATATGATAATTCAGCAGGCACATAGTCTATGAAACATAATATAATTGATGACAGCGTATAATATCTTCAAATTACGTTGAAAAAATAAATGCATAACTTATTAGTTGCTACATAAGCAACTAAATGGGATAGTACCATATAGCTAAAAAAATGAAGGATCAACCATACATGTCGAAGAGAGCACTAGCATTGCCACATTTTGCCACACATTTTTCCCAAGCTTGCCTAAGGTTAGTTCATCAAAATGAGAGCCTCAAGTTGGCAAGCCTAAGGGAACCTTGCCACACTTTTTGTGTGTATTCCATGTGGGACCCAAGTGTGGCTTGCCTAAGGTGTGGCTAGAACCAAACACTCACTTAAGTTGGTAAAACTTGCCTAACCTTAGGTATGGCAATCTTTGGCAAAGTTAATCACAAACCAAACAGCCCTTTAGTGCAACAAAATTTACTTGCTACGTAAAAATGCATGAACTGATGATGTAACATGGCAAAGCAGCATACAGATGTATTAATGCAAAAAAAGACTTATAACTTACATGCATGACTAGATAAAATATCTCGTGAGCTGTATCTATTTAGGGTTAGAATTTTGTGTGCTTATGATGACGGATATTGGAATTCCCCATGTTATCGTCGTGGAAGTTTCCCCTGTTGATCGATACCCCACCCATCAATGTTCCTAAACCATTGAACGTTCTAGGTAAAGTAGTTAATTATTATGAATTCTGACAATAAGTGATCCCAAATGTTGTACTTACAAAAAAGGGTTTTTATCATTTATGCCACCAGTTGTGTCCCACAACTAAGTATCACCACTAGGAATTTCTACTGCTAAAAAAGCCATTGCTTCGTTAGGCACATGCTCAAAAATGCCACTGCACATCATTATTGTGATATCAAATCTATCTTGACATGCTATAATGGCATCAATACCTATGGACCAACATGCCAGCTCTCCCTCTATCTCACTACAATAAAGTTTGGGCACACTTGATCCCAATAGTGTTCTTATTTTTCTGTAAAATTATTCGCTTACTTACTCCTCACAAGGGGAGCCACACTTATCATTGTGAGATAGAGAGAACTGAAATGTGGGCCTGGGCTTTTTTTCATATTGGATGGTCAACAAGTTTTACATGAAAATAAAAATGTGTAATGGCATTATTGAGCAAACATCTAACAGAATGATGGCATTTTTGATACATCTAATGGCATTTTTGAGTAAGCATCTCACGAACCGATGGCATTTGAACAGCTGTAACTTCTAAGGGAAAAACTGAGTAGTGGGATACAACTAGTGGCATAAATGATAAAAACCCTACAAAAGAACTAATTAAAACAACTCAAGTAAAACATTGATGATATCCAATTTCTTTCTAAAATAGCCATTGCTTAGAGATAATCAATGTTTAAAATCATTGCCACAGCCACTTATGGAACATTTAAACCAAAGATTGATCAAGTGCAACCAAACATGTACTCAACATTTTAATACCTTATTTGCCTTGTACTGACCAGGGAAAACCTAGGATATTACAAAATAAATAAATAAATCAAGGGGAGAGATGACTAACCTCTTCTTCGTTCCCATCGGCAACGACCACGGGTGGGGGCAGGGGAGGCAACAAACACAGCAGACGAACACCCGGCTGAGGCTGAGGAGCCACCACCTGCTCCGGCAGAGAAGCCAGAGGAGCTACCTATTCCGGATTATTAGCAGAATAATTTATATAGGTCAAAAATTGACATATACATGCCTCAATAAATGTAATCTAGCTACACAACTGCGGATCCAGGATTTCATACTTGGGTGTTCAAAAATTTATATTGCAAACTAAAACCACAACAATATTTTTCAAATGGAGGGAGTAATATCTAAAATTTTCATGCGAAAAGATTCTTTGTCCATCGAAATGACAGTACTGACATGAATGACAGAAGATGAAGATTATTTACTTCATGACCATAGAATATGACATTTTCATAAACAAGGCATGGTGTTGTTATCCTTAAGTTGCAGAAAATATTTTCACAATCACCGACGTAGGCAATTCAATTCCAAGGTCAAGCTACGTATTTGTATTAGCACAGTAACCAAACATAGGTGGATTTATTAGCAAAATAATTTACCTAAATCAAAATATTGCCTATACAGGGCTCAACACATATAACCTAGCTAGTTACCTAACACATCTACAGAATATTGATATGGAGTCCATCGATCAAAGATAAAAAGAAACCCTGGCCTTCCCCAAAAATAGACAAAAGGACTGACCAGAGCACACCTAGGATTTTACAAAATATTAAGGGACATAGATGACTAACGTCTTCTTTGTTGACGTTGCCGACGACAATAGGCTCGGGCACACGAGGCGTCACCCGCGGTAGAGGAGACACCTGCTCCATCCGAGGAGCCAGAGCAGCTACCTGGTCCCACATAAATAGCAGAATATTTTATATAGATCAAAAAATGTCATATACATGCCTAAACTAGTGCAACCTAGCAACACAGCTTCAGACCCAGGATTTCAAAGTTGGGTGTTCAAAAATTTATATTGCAAACCAAAACCACAACAATATTTTTCAAACGGCTGAGATCAAGTTGGCTTTTGAGTCCAGAAGGCATTCTTCTGCCTCTGCTTATGTTACTCAAGAAATTAAAGAGTTAGGAGTAATATCTAAAATGTTCATGTGAAAATATTATTTTTCCATCATACTGACAGTACACACATGAATGACGGAAAATGAAGATTATTTACTATGACATTTTCGTAAACAAGGCATGGTGTTGTTATCCTTTACTTGCGGAAAATATTATGCTGAAAATAAGCAACCAAATGATATATTTCAAGTAGGGATGATAACAAGTCTAAAATATTACAGCCTATGGTTATTGGACTCCAGGAATCATGCAATTGGTGTTGAGCAAAATGTGTCTGCTGGATTAAGCGTGAGAGGCTAGTTTTATACAAATTGAAATAAAGTTTAGTGCACAAACTACACCACTTTTAGTCCATTTAGCAATAAAAGAACCATATATAAGAAATTTCGGGCAAAATTTTTTGGGTGGTTGGTAGATCTATCTTAAAATTTGGCATCAACACATTTTGGATGCACGAGAGCCATGGATCTGAGTGGTTGGTAGATCTTAAAAACAAGATAACCTATATAATGAGGGGTCGGCCCCCACACCCATGTGCCCATGTGGGTCCGCCCTTGAAACCTACCAGATCTAAAGAATCAAGGTACGGATTTCATAGATGGAAGAAAAGAAGAAACCCTAGCCATGCCCGAAAATAGAAAAGGGACTGAACAAGGAATCCTAGGATATTTCCTAAAATCAGACTGGCCTCTTCTTCATCGTTGTCGCCGTCGACGTTGACCACGGGCTGCAGCAGAGGAGGCAGATGGCATGGCAGAGGAGGAAGATGGCGTGGCAGAGGAGTCACCTGCTCCGGCGGAGGAGCCGCCTGGTCTAGCGTAAGTGACACCTGCACCGGAGCCTGGACGTGGTCGACAATGTCAAGGCCGCCCTGCTGCCGGTTGGACCCCTCACCGGCGGGGAGGGGTTTCTCCATGTGCAGCTTCGCCCGATGCTTGGATGCTTCGTGCGCCATGGTGTCGGCCCTGGCGTCGGCCCTCCCTCCCATGGTGCACTTGGGCATCTCAACGGCGGACGTGCAGCGGCGGGAAGGGAGCAGCGGCGGGATGGGCAGGCGAGTGGTGAGGCGTGGGAGGAGAAAACCCTCGTATTTGTGGATGGAGATGAGGACGGGAAGAGGGGGTGGCGATGAGATAAATGCTAATGGGGAAGCGGAGCCGCTGATTTATTCCTGGGCAGTCAAAAGGAGTTGTTGCCACGTTCACACCTCCCCGTGCGTTGTTCACAACACCACGTCTTGGCACGTCAAAACGCAACTTCTCACTTCTCACTAAAATGAATAGCCCGATCGTGCACAGCCATGATTTAGGAGTAATGCAACTTCCCTTCAAAAAATTGTGTAATGCAAATGCTCCCTCATTACACAGAACAAAATCAAACAATGGGACAACTGAATTTGTAGGCTTGTTTCATCTGCACATGTCATGTTTTATATTTGTCCTAAAATATGTTGTAAAACTTTACAAACAATGGAATGGCAAATGGATGTGACAAAACTTCATCAGCAACCACGCGGATTCGTCTGCCATATATCCGATGTCCGGTACCGAGGAGGGGAATGTTGATCCACGCGATGCCATGTGTTTCGTCTGGACCCATATCATGCACCCCGAGCCAACCGGGCCAAAACATGCGCCCCTAGCCTTCTCGATCCAAACAATGAGCTAGTGTCCACCATGCACAGAGATGCTCATGTGGACAGGTTTGCTAGCACTAGTGAATGAAGTCAGATCTCGGTGTGCAATATGTGTAGCCGTGTGTCTCTTTGGCGTGCCTGCCATACCGAAGGAACTCGTCGAAGGTCCAACAAACCGCGGTGGGGTCAATGCTTGATGTATGGTGTGGGCCAACCTGGCTAGCGGTGCATGGTTTGAGTTTAGGTGGCTAGGTTTGCATGGCTGGGGGGCTAGATGGCTAATGAGTGCGCATGCGTCATCTGTATATTGTCAAGGTTGAATGGTGGTTGTCTACATGGCCAGGCGTGCATGCATGGTGTGGGTCCAGTTTGCGTGCGGTGCACGGGATTTGCCTTGGTGGGTAGGGCCCACAACTTGCGGCACAGAGTCCTAAAGTAGATGAAGGGGCGAGCCCCGGTCTTCATCCACAAGCAGGACTTGTTCCCTCTCGATGGCTACCTCCGGGATGCATTTTGGTCTCGTTTACACACAACCTATGTGAAGGCTTACGCATGCCGCTCTCGATGTTCGACCACACCCTCACCGGGAAAGGTCCCACGAGATTTGGATCCCTCATGAATTTGCACGGATTATAGCGACGGCAGACGAGACCCGGCATTTTTCGCCCTTAACAATGGCTCTGAGGCGGCCCTGCCAATTGGTCGCACATGGCACATATATGGACTAGAGCTTAGCATGGAATTGTCACCCCCAATCCCTGCTGTGATTTCATGTGGCCGCGGTATAGATCCTGAATTTCCGAGGATACTGCCCTAGAAATGCGGCAAATGTCCCAAATATGGCAAGCGCGGGCTCCAAGAAAGGCCGGGACCTTGCATGCGCTTTTGGATTGTTCTCCGTTGACCCGAGAGTGAGCATCGACGAAAATGGAGGAACGGGCCCGCATTCATTGCGCAAACCGGACACGTTACCTCAAGGTAGCTATATCCAAACCATGCACCCCCGCCGTCTAGACCCACAAGGTGCACCACTTAGACACTAGACCCACATCACTTACGCCGGCCCCCAAGCCAACCATTCCCCATGTAGACTCATATGCCGCACCCCACAAAATAGCTTAGCACAAGACTTCCACCCCGATTTCCACAACATGCACCACTACATGTAAGTGTCCAAAAAATGGACTATCGCATTATCAACATTTTTTTGCCAAAACAAGTAAGTTGTTTTTAAATTGCTTATAAATAGCAAGGTTTCTATTAAATTATAATTTCATTAATTAAACATTATAACATGCATTTTTTTTGTCCCTCAAAAAGGGGTGCATTTCGTTTTTGTAAACCCACAAAATTACTTCCTTTCCCTCGAAAAAACGAATCCTTCTTCACCCTCTCACGATCACGTTCATGGTGGCCTCGCCCTATAATCTAGGAGTGGCCGATCCAATCTCCCCACGGGGGACAACTTCCACGCATTATCTATCTTGGTTGGTTGCAACCATCTCGCCATCACGGTTTTTTATGGGAAAATCACATTCTTTTGGTTTTCCTTCGAAAGATATGTGGCGAAAAATCATGGAACAAAAATTGTAGAAGGCATGGTGGGATACATGCACATGTTGTATTTTTGTACTACAAGTGCACTTGTTGGCAAGTTGCATGTGCACGTGTCATGTTTCATTTTTTTATTGAAAATTATGTTGTACACCTTTACATAGACGCCTGAATTATTGTTTTTGTCTGTTAATAATTCCTAAATATTGAAATTCAGCATGCACATAACACATGGCTTCCAAGCTTCATCAGCGACCGCTTGGATTCGTCTGGTATATGCCCGTTGTCTGGTATTGGGCGGGGGAATGTGGATCCATGCGATACCATGCGTTTCATCTGGACCCATGACATGCACCCCCAGCCAATCGGGCTGACATCATGTGTCGCTAGGCTTCTCGATCCTAACCATGCGCTAGTGTCCACCATGGGTAGAGATGCTCAGGTGCACAAGTTTGCTGGCACTAGTGAATCACGTCGTATCTCGGTGTGCAATATGTGTAGTCGCGTGTTGCTTTGACATACCTGGCATGCCAAGGGAAGGGACTCATGTCGGAGTCCAACGAACCAAGGTGGGGTCAATAATTGACGGATGGTGTGGGTGAATCTGGCAAATGGTGCACGGTTTGAGTGAAGCTAGCTAGGTGTGCATGGCTGGGGGCTTGATGGCTAATGAGTGCGCATTCGTCTTGTGTACATTGTCAAGGTTGACCGGTGAGTGTCTACTTGGCCACGTGTGCATGCATAGTGTGGGTCCAGTTGGCGTGCGGCGCACGGGATGAGCCTTGGTTGCTAGGGTCCACATCTTGCAGCACAGAGTTCTGAAGCAGATGAAGGGGCAGGCCCCGCACACCGTTCATAGGCCAGACTCGTTTCCTCTCAATGGACAATGGCTCCGAGGCGGCCCTTCTCTTTGGTGGCACATGGCCCATATATATGGACCAAAGAGCTTAGCATGTGATTGTTACCCCATTCCCTGCTATGATTTCATGTGGCCGCGGTATAGATCATGAATTCCCGATGATACTACCCTAGAAATGCGGCAACTATCCTGAATATGGCATGCGGGACCCAAGAAAGGTCGGGACCTAGCATGCGCGTTTGGATTGTTCTCCGTTGACCCGAGAGAAATCACCGGTGAAAACAGAGTAACGGGCCCGCACTCAGTGCGCAAACCAGATGCGTTACCTCAAGGTAGCTAGATCCAAACCATGCACCCCCGCCGTCTAGACTCACGCGGCGCACCACTTACGCAGTAGACCCACATCACTTACACCGGGCCCCAAGCCAAGCATTCCCCCCGGGTAGACTCATATGTCGCACACCACAAAATAGAATTAGCACAAGGCTTTCACCCTGATTCACCAGGTTACTACCTTGTGCACCCCTAGCCAGCATGATACACTGCATGCACCTAGAGCCACTTGGGCCCACAGCATGCACCACTACATGTACGTGTCCACAAAATGAACTAACCCATAATCAACTTTTTTTTGCCAAAACAATTTAGTTATTTTTATAATGGCTTGAAAATAGCAAGGTTTCTGTTAAATAATTATTTCCTTAATTACAATAAGGTCCATTTTGTAACCACACAAAATTCCTACCTTCCATCGAAAAAAAGAATTCTTCTCTGACGATCACGATGGCCTCACCCTATAATCTAGGAGTCGATCCAATCTCCCCACGGGGGCCAAGTTGCATGCAGTAGATATTTTTGGTTGGTTGCAAATTTCTCTCCAAAATGGTTTATTATGAGAAAATCACCTTATATTTTTTTTACTTCCAAAGACATGTGGCGACAAAAGCATGGAACAAAATTGTAGGAGGCACGGTTGGATACGTGCACATGCTGTCTTTTTCTACTACAACTGGACTTGTTGGCAAATTGCATGTGCACGTGTCATGTTTCAATTTATCTTGAAAATTATGTTGTACACATTTACATAGGCGATCGAATTGTTGTTTTCATATGTTAATAATCCCTAAATATTGACCATGTGACACATGTGGTAAGCAATCCAAACAATTCAAAAACAATCCCTAGATATTGAATTCAGGCATGCACCTAGAAATTATCAGTCATAGAACCAACATCTCTTTCGTAGAGATTAAGGTACTTCCACATTAAATCTAATACAATAAATTCAAAGGATCAACTAAATACATTAACAACACATAAGGATGTAGCCCAGAAATCCAACGAGTAGAGAGAAAAGGAGGAACAAAAGCTGGAAGAAGAAGGATCAGCCAGCAGCAGCGCCATCAGCCTCCTAGCCTCACAACTCCAGGTCTCCAACCTTGTGAACTCCAATTTTTTTCTGCGAAACACGAATGGCAAAGTTGCTATTACAGGTAAGGACTTAGTGAAAATTACAGTTATGCTGAAACAGTTATAATGACAAACAGTGTTGACATGATGGTTACAACAAGCAAACAAAACCAAGCTCACAAGTGCAACTTACTTTTAACATCAAACAATTATATTAACATGGCCACTTTAGAGCAAGATTTTACCATGCAACATAAACTTGTCATAGCAACAAAAGGCATGGCATGAAAGTATCGACAACATAATGCAAATAATTTTTAGGAAGCATGGCCATAGGAGTTATATTTTTAGTGGCAACCTTCAAACAAAGTTGCATAGTTTTATAACAGAAAGGGTTGTTGTTATTGGTAGAGGCACACTGAAGTTGGCTAGACATTGAGGATGACCAGTGGGCCAGGGGCCACATGACTAGGAGCATTTGTGTGTGCGTGATTGCCGTGGGACCCGGATGTCAGTGGCTTACTTTGAAAACAAAAGGGGGGTT